TTTACCACTGATACCTATCCTCATCAATTGAGGTTTTATTCTTAGCATTTTTACTTAGTGTGTGGTTTTGCCATAGAAAGTTGGTTCATTTCAAGAGTTCATAGGGCCCAGACTACCTCAGTATATCTGCCCTTCCTGTGGTCTCCTTGCACTTACTTGTGAGTTGGATCCTGTAAAGACCCTCCCTTTTAGGTGCTGTCATTAGATCAATTTGCTGAGCTTCCACTCTGAGGTGGAGTCCTCTCCTTTAGCAGGTGAATGCCTATAACTGATTCTGGGTTTCCCAGCTCTTAGAGCTGTCATCAGTTCATTTTCTCTCTCATCATTTCCTCTCTTACTTTTGTTATATCATGCAGGTTTTGTTGTTTGTGGTATACAATTCCCACTCACTTATATTTGAGAATTTATAAGAATACCTCATCACCTCATTTTGTTGAGAATATTGCTGACATTTTTTAATTTGTATTTCTATCCTAATTGTTCTGCCTTTTAAATGGAGTGTTTCAGAGAGACTCAACAAGTATGTCAAAGCAGCTACCATCTTGTCACAAATCTCCTATTATTTTATTTTTAACTAAAATATTCTTTCTTCCTAATTGACATATCAAAGCTTAGGCTTTCAAAAGGCAAGACTTTTTCTACTATCTTAATGAGGACAATCATATTCCTTCTTCTAAGTACTATAGAGGAAGTCTTCTTGTCATGCAGAGCTGGTTTCTATGATCTTTCTTCCTCAAATCACCTGTTCTGAGCTCCTCTCCTGTTTAATCCAGCCAGGTCTCTGAAACCAGCTCACATGCTCATAGCAGTTGTTTAAACTGGATATAGAATTTCACCTTCAGCAAAACATAAATTCCTGGAGGATAGGAACTTGGTCTGTTTTGTTTATTATATTCCTAGTACCTAGAAAAACCTCTTACACATTGCAGGTCTTTTTTGAAATATGAAGGCTTCCATAGAACATATCACCATCAATCATAGAATTTGTTGCTTTTACTTTTAATATTTATTTAGTGCTTACATTTTCTAGTAGAATTCCATGAGTGCAGTGATTATATCTGTCCTATTTGCCATTGTATTTTCAACACCTATCATAGTAAGTGTTAAATGAATGGATGAACATCAAATAAACCAAGTGTGTTCAAGGTACCTATTTAACTTACTATCATTTTCCCTTATATATTATATTATTCTACCATAGCTCTTTTCAATACTGAAATACAATTATTTGTTTACATATCTATCTCCTTGAGGCGGTGGGCTTTGAGTCTTTAACACCTGCTATACAGTTTGGCTTTTTCTTTAATTACTAAATAGATAAATAAGTAAGTATAGCTTTAAAAGTAAACCAAAAAAAAAAAAACCCTTGTGGTTATGATAAAAATATCAAGCTGATTTCTTCTATGTGCTTCATATAAGTGTTGTGGATGGAAAAAGAAAAGATGTTGTGAATTGACAGGTATATATATATACTAAAGGTATAATTTAATAATTTGGTCCTGTAGTGTATGAGTGTAATTTCTTTCCTTGCAAACATGAAATAATGGGCTTTAATTCTAGGACTTTGTTTTTGTCTTTGAAGCTGAAAAGGGAGAGCTTTTCCAATTTCCACTTTTGAATTATTTCTACAAATTGAAGAAAGATTTTCAGACAGCAGACAATAAAACTATATATACAATATGTACTAGTTCAGCAAATACGTATTGTTCAGCAAATAGCTCTGTGCCTCAGCCTCCTGGGATCATGGTAATATTGTACTTCCTAGTCCCCTTGTGTTTGAGAGGGCCCATGTGACTAATTCTGGCAATAAGTTGTTAGTAAAATAACATCTACTATTTCCATCGTGCAGATAGTAAATTGCCACTGTGAAACGCTCCAGAGCTCTCTTTTGCTCTGTATGGGGATCAGCAATGTTTCCAATGAAGCTGCTCCATCACAGTGATCTCAAAGAGAGAATGATGCTGAACATCATTCTAAGTGAACATGTGGCCCATCTAGCTCTAAGTGAATATGTGTCATGATCAAGAAATAAATCTTTGTTGTTTTAAGCCACAAAGACTTTGAGTTAATTTGTTACCTGAGCATAACCTAGATTTTCCTGATTGATACAAAATGTAACAATTGAAAACATGAAAACAGATAAGAGCTGTATAATAGGTAGGTAAACCATTGGAACACCAAAGAGAGTATTTGTATTTTAGCACATTTAATTCTTGACCTTCCTGGATGCCAAGGCAAACGGTGAAACTTGCTGAGTTATTTAACTTTCAACATTTAATATTGAAAGCTATATCGATTGATTTCTATCAAAAGCTTTTCCCAACTCTACTCAAAATTTTGCATTTGCATTTATATATCTCAGTGGAAAACACTGTGAAGGACCAAGTAGTCAATAAGAATATTTCAAAATGAATATCCTATCTTTAGCCATAGAACTATCAAGCGTGGAAACCAGCACATTTGCTATTTTTATTTATTGAGTTAAAAGTACATAGGCTCCGAGGCCACACTTACCTTGTATTTAATCTCTACTAAACATTAAATGTAACTACTTTCCAGCTATGTTATCTAGTAAATAGATATGAGATATTTTGCAGACTAACTTGAGGGATAGAAAATATCTATCAAATATGTAGCGCATAACAATAAGTAATAGTTTTTAATACTATTATTTTATCTGCAGTGCTTTGTAAAAGGGAATCACATTCATTGCCTTATAGTCTATTCAAATTCTTCAGCATGACTTTCTAGACTTTCTCTACTCAGTCTGCACCTTATCACCATCACTTTCCATCAGAAACCCTCTGGCCCAGCCAGGTGTGATGGCTCGCACCTGTAATCCTAGCTCTCTGGGAGCCTGAGGTGGGAGGAGCACTTTAGATCAAGAGTTCGAGACCAGCCTGAGCAAGGTTGAAACCTCATCTCTACTAAAAATAGGGGAAAAAATTAGCTGGGTGTGGTGGCATGTGCCTGTAGTCCAGTCATTTCTAGGGAGGATGAGGCAGTAGGATAACTTGAGCCCAGGAATTTGATGTTGCTGTGAGGTAGGCTGATGCCACAGGTACCTGATGCTGGCAACACAGCAAGACTTTGTCTCAAAAAAAAAACAAAAAGAAAAGAAAAGAAAGGATCCCTCCAGCCTCACACAGATGAGTATCCTTGGCCTTTCCAGAACATTCTTTGTGATATCTTTGCTGAAGCTCTTCATTGTTCTCTCTTTTTTGGGGTAGGAGGCAACAAAAATATTCCCAATCCTTAAAGCCTTTTTGGAACTTGATTTTATATTTCAGCATATTTAATTTTGACCTTTCTGGATGCCAAGGCAAAAGGTGAAACTTGCTGAGTTATTTAACTTTCAACATTTAATTTTTTTTTTTTTTTTTTTTTGAGATAGAGTCTCACTGTGTTGCCCAGGCTAGAGTGAGTGCCATGGCGTCAGCCTAGCTCACAGCAACCTCAATCTCCTGGGCTCAAGCAATCCTTCTGCCTCAGCCTCCCAAGTAGCTGGGACTACAGGCATATGCCACCATGCCCAGCTAATTTTTTGTATATATATTGAGCAATTAATTTCTTGAGCAATTAATTTCTTTCTATTTTTGGTAGAGACGGGGTCTCGCTCAGGCTGGTTTCGAACTCCTGACCTCAAGTGATCTGTCTGCCTCGGCCTCCCAGAGTGCTAAGATTACAGGCATGAGCCAACATGCCTGGCCTCAACATTTAATATTGAAAGCCATATCAGGAACCTAGCATTGTTTTATCTGTTTTACACATGATATTCCAAATATTCCTAAATTATGAGAAGAGTAATTTATATTTGCTTATATGCCCTTAGTCTTCAAGGAAAGGGTTTTTATCCCCAAGAAAATAAATTAATTGGCACTGCTGGGAATTGTACTTTAGTTCTGCAATTTAGAAAAATAGAATAATTCTCTAATACAGTGATTCTCCAGCTTAAATGTGCATTTGAATAACCTAGGGGACTAGTTAAAATACACTTTTGGGGGACTCCTTTCCAGAGGTTTTAAGTCTTATTTGGTCAAGGGTCCAGAAATGTACATTTTTAACATGCACTCCAAGTGATTTTGAAGCTAGTGAATCATATATTTTTTTTGAGACAGAGCAAAACTCTAGCTTAAAATACAGTATTAAGTACAGAGCTAGAGCGGAAGTGAGGTCAACCTATGCTATCAACACCTTTGTACACATTTGTGAACATTCATTTACCTTCTTACCATCAAGGGGAGAGGAGTTAGCATTATTGGAAGTCTACTATATTCTAGGTGTTTCCAGATACAGTATCATTTAATTAACCCAACAATCCCAACAAACAGATATTATAATCAGCTCTTTGGAAATGAGAAGATAGGTTCAATAATGTTCACTGCAACATAGTAAGTGACAAAGTTCAATTTCAAACCCAGGTCTGTCTGACTTTGGAAACCCGTCTGTCTTATGGTATCTGTCTTGTATTTGATAAGAGTCAAGAATGAAGTTTTTGGCCACAGAGCTAAACAAAATTAAGCCATTTAGACTGGTCTCAAACCTTCCTAACCTATGGGTTAGGAAGCACTGAGCTAACTTTCTGTTTTCTGAAAGGAGAATATACCAGTCTAGTAAACAGTTATTTGAGTCCTTTTAATCTTGGAGGAGAAAACTATAAAATAAAATTTCAGATATCTATATCGGAAGTTTTCCATGAAGAAGGAAGGACCATCTGAATGAACTGAATTAATTTTCTCTATCTCTTAGGCTATATCTATCTGCTTCTGCCTTGGACCCATTGTCTTCATCCCCTGATTCTTTAGATTTAAAAATAGGAAGGAGAAGGGTTGTCTGACATAGCTCTGAACAACTTAGTCATGACAGCATCCAATAAGTTCTGAAGGGCAGCCTGGAAAGGGAGGTTTGTGAATGTGAAGAAGTATTGAGATAAGAGTATTGCCCTACAGGTAAACAAGTTGGCCTTTAAAATACTTTCTAAATTGCTTCTTCTGTTCTACCTTGTCCTAAGGAGAGATTCACTCTGAGACACTCTTCATGTGATGGAGATGGGTTGAAGGTGTACCAGCCTGTATAAGAAATAAAAGGAGGATATTAATTTGATTAGCACTGTGCTTAAGCCCGTTGATAAAGAGGACACGAATCTTGTCCTTGAGAAGCTTTTGATATGATTGAAAAGACCAAATAATCATGTACCCCAAACACTACAGACATAAGAAAACCAATGTTTACTCATGACATTTGCAAAGCATTCATTAGTGTTTGAATTCTGGAAATGTACGAGTCTTATAAACCTTGGACAAATTACTTACATTCGTTAAGCTTCTAGTACCTCAACTATAAAATGAGGACAATAGTAGCGTCCACCTCAAAGAGTTGTTTGGAGCATTACATGAGATAATTCATGTAAAGTGTTTAGGATATGTTAAGCTATCACTATTATTAACACAATATTCGTTTGCTTTCTGAAAATTGGTTGGGTAAATCCTGCCCTTCCTTGCATTAAGAAGAGATTAATGAGTGGAAAAACTGATGCAATCTATAATCATAATTAAAATGGTAAATACAAAACTGATACTGTTTCTCCAGGGAGATTTATTCACCAATGACAGTCTCTTAGGGATCACTTACATGCTGGGTGAGAACTGGTTTTATCTGCCTTTGAATCATACTTAGAATAAGGGGACAATATTCTCTGCCTCCAGAATTACATTCACCTTACTTCCCATAAGAAGACCTTTGGTACCTCTTATTGGAGGCTTCGCCTGATCGTACCTGTTCCCCTCTCTCAGGACTTTTGGAATCCAACCCTTCTGCAACCTTTCTCCTAAGTAGGCTTCTATAACTAATGATGCCTGCTTAATACAAGTCCAAATAAGGTGAGGTATGTTCTGACAATGTCTCTTTCTACTCACACCAGCCTACATAAGCCTTGGGGTTTGTTCCGTTTTATTTTGTTTTGAGAGAGAAAATGGAGGTTCTGAGTTTTGCACAAGATCAGCCAGGATAAGATGCCTCAATGAGCTAAATTAATTCTCATTATGCCAAACCAATGACTGTCACTTTGAGATAGGGAACTAGCAGGTACTCCTCTAGCAGTGCTTTGGGCATTGCTGCATTGCCTAACTGAGTCAGGAAGTCTCAAAACAAACTTTCAGATTACTCTGATCAAAACAGGATGGAGGCAGGACAAATTCCAGCCAGTTTGAACCAAGATGGTGGAGAAATAGATGGTGTCACCCCGATTCTAGGAAAACACTGCCCTTTCCATTAATATTCTTCCCCTTGGTTAGCCTATAATTAAGCCGTTGCCTAAATAGAAAAGCAACAGGAACCAGCAGGCCAGTTTTCTTCTCTGGGGAGAATTTGCCTCTGCTCTGTCTCTGGGATAGACTTGCCATAGTTTCTGAATAAATCTCACTTTCACTCTATACTGTTGGCTTGCTCCTAAATTCTTTATTACATGAAGCCAAGGACCCACTTGGACTTCAAGTGGCTCCCAGCATTGGGAGTCACTTTCCTGTGTCAATTTCTTCATCTCAATCCCAGAATTATGTCCAAAAGATCCAGCTGTCTAGCAGAAAGGAAATAGCAAGTCAAGTCACTAAATATCAATTCTCTGAAAGCCAATATCCTGAAGATAAATTTGAGGATCAAACAATATAAACAATGACCAATAATCCAAAATACTGAGAATATTTTTGAAGGAGCAGGATCTTATTGTGCTTTTTTCTCTGCCATTTTATATGCAAAAGCATTGATGTCCTGTTAATTGTTTCTTATTGTCTTCTCTGTTGTTGGAGACATATTCCTTTGCCTCTGCCTCTGTATCTGTCCTCGTCCCTGACTTTGGTGGTTTAACAGCTGCAACAAACCATCACAGCCATGGATTCAGATAGTTGTATGACATTTTGCAGTTTAGAAGCTGGTTAAAGTGACCTGGTGTCTGGGAGAGGCAGGAATCCATCCTCTGGTGTGTGGAACCTCCGGCTAATCCTTACAAGCCAACCTTAACATTTACCTCTTTTTAGGAGGTCTTTTTGGTTAAATCATCTATTTCAATCAATCTTCATATATATGCCTCTTTCTGTTAATTGTATTTCCATTCTCTCTGCACTCCAGATTAAAACTTCAAAGTTTCTTTCAACTCCTTTCTCTATCTTATGCCTATGCCTCACTCTTGATTTCCACTACCACGATCCAGTTGATGTTCTCAGCCTCTCTCCAGGAGCCTTCCAGATGACCCTCCCAAACTTCCAGACTCTTCTTATTTACCCCCCATTATGCTGCCATAATAAATATTCTAAAGTGCTACTCCAATCACTTCATACCATTCCTGAAAAATCTTCATTCAGTCAGACTCCTTAACCTAGTATTCAAGATTTTTCATATCCTGGACTCAAGTTATTTTTACAACCTGGCTTCTATTACACCACTTTATGCACGCTATGCTGCAATAATTGATGATGTGTGTTTTTTTCATTCTTTCAAACAATGCATATCCCTCTAATATCCTTCCCCATCATTTCTAATATTAAGATACCTTCTATTCCTTCTTATTTAATTTTCATGCTTACATATATGTTCAAGGTTAAAAAAATAGTAAATTCAAATCCAATGTTTTGGTCAAGCACTCTCAGAATTCATGCCCACATTTAGTCTCTAAATCTCTGCCCCAAACTAGCAAAGTCCTACAATGTTTGTTATGTATTATTCTTTTCCTCAGGTATTATTCTTTTAATTAGCTATGGAAGAGCCTGCTGGGATCTAACCCTGTTTACTAGATAGCTGTGGAGAGGGACATGAGCAGAATTGCTTTCCTTTTACCTTGTATCCCTCTCAGTAAGGAGGCATAGCATTTTTTTAATATTTTATTTTTAGAGCAATTTTAGATATATAGCAAAATTGAGCAAAAAGTACAGAGACTTCCCATAACCTCCCTGCTCCCACCCATTATCAACATCCCCCACCAGAGTGGTTCATTTGTTACAACTAATAAACCTATATTATCACATCATTGCCATCCAAAGTCCATAGTTTACAATAGGGGTCACTCTTTTTTTTTCTTTTGAGACAGAGTCTCACTCTGTCACCCTGGGCAGAGTGCAGTGGCGTCATTGTAGCTCACTTTAACCTCAAACTCTTGGGTTCAAGCTATTCTCCTACCTCAGCCCTCTGAGTAGCTGGACTACAGGTACATGCCACGACACCTGGCTAATTTTTTCTATTTTTGGTAAAGATGAGGTCTCGCTTTTGTTCAGGTTGGTCTTGAACTCCTCACCTCAAGCGATCCTCTCACCTCGACCTCTCAGAGTCGAGAGGGTTTGAACAAAATAATAATGTATATGTGTCCACCATTATAGTACCATACGGAGTAGTTTCACTATCCTAAAACTCCTCTGTGCTCCACATGTTCATTCCTTCCTTCCCAAACTCCCTGGCAACCATTTTTTTACTGTCCCTATACAGCATGTCATGTAGTTGAAACAATACAGTATATAGCCTTTTCAGATTGGCTTCTTTCACTTAGTATAATAATATACATTTAAGTTTCCTCCATGTCTTTTCTTTTCTTCCTTCCTTCCTTTCTTTCTTTCTTTCTTGCTTTCTTGCTTTCTCTCTCTCTCTTTCTCTCTTTCTTTTTTTTGAGACAGAGTCTTGCTCTGTTGCCTGGGCTAGCCTCCATGTCTTTTCACGACTTGATAGCTCATTTCTTTTTAACACTGAATAATATTCTGTTGTCTGAATGTACCACAGTTTATTTATCCATTCACCTACTGAAGGACATGTTGGTGGCTTTCATGTTTTAGCAATTATGAATAAAGTAACTATAAACATCTGCGTGTAAGTTTTTGTGTGGACATAAGTTTCAACTCTTTTGGATAAATACCAAGGAGTGCAACTACCGGATCATATAATAAGATTATGGTTTAGTTTACTGGTATTAACTGAGTAGCACCTAAGTGGACACATAGGTACTACAGTAATAGGGTATTGGGCAGGTGGGAGGGGGGAGGGGGGCGGGTATATACATACATAATGAGTGAGATGTGCACCATCTGGGGGATGGTCATGATGGAGACTCAGACTTTTGGGGGGAGGGGGGAAATGGGCATTTATTGAAACCTTAAAATCTGTACCCCCATAATATGCCGGAAAAAAAAAAAAGATTATGGTTTAGTTTTGTAAGAAATTGCCAAATTGCCTTCCAAGTGACTGTACTGTTTTGCATTCCTACCAGCAATAAATGAGAGTTTCTATTGCTCTACATCTGAACCAGCATTTGATGTTGCCAAGGGTTCTAGATTTTGGACATTTTAGTAGGTATGTAGTGATATCTCATTGCTGTTTTAATTTGCATTTCTCTGATATGGGCTCATATAATGTGGACTATCTTTTTTATATGCTTATTTGCCATCTATATATCTTATTTGGTGAGGTACCTGTTAAAGTCCTTGGCCTATGATTTAGTCAGGTTGTCTGTTTTCTTATCATTTATTTTTCAATGTCCTTTTGTTTTTTTGAGGCAGAGTCTCACTCTGTTGCCCTGGCTAGAGTAAGTGCCATGGTGTTAACCTAGCTCACAGCAACCTCAAACTCCTGGGCTCAAGCAATTTTACTGCCTCAGCTCCAAAGTAGCTTGGATTTCAGGTATGCGCCACGATGCCTGGCTAATTTTTTCTATATGTTTTTAGTTGTCCAGCTAATTTCTTTCTATTTTTTTTAGTAGAGACAGGGCTCTCGCTCTTGCTCAGGCTAGTCTCGAACTCCTGAGCTCAAACGATCCACCCATCTCGGCTTCCCAGAATGCTAGGATTATAGGCATGAGCCACCGTGTCCAGCCTCAATGTTCTTTTATATTTTTAATATATTTTTAATTTTATTTGATAAATATAAATATTTTATATTTATAAAATATGTCGTTTGAAAATATTTTTCTCCCAGTCGTGGTTTCTCTTTTCATTCTCTTGAGAGGTATGGCATTTTCAAACAAGGCAGTTTTATCAGACAAAAGAGGAAAACTGTCTCGGCTAGAATAGGAATGTGGGTGATAGGGTACCACAAACAT